AACAGGGGAGGTTATTGATTCTTTTTAGGCTGAACAAAGGGAGAGAAGAACATGTGTTGTAATGGATGGAGAGAAGGGGTAATTGTAAACCTAGCTAGATGGTAAATGGTGGAGGGATCTAGGCGGTAAGCGTATGGGATGTAGGGTATAGGTGGTAACATTGTGGTTTGTGATAGAGTGATTAAGATGGTAAATGTGGTGTGTGGTGGAGTAATTTAGGTGGTAAATGTGGTGTGTGGTAGAGTAATTTAGGTGGTAAATGTGGTGTGTGGTAGAGTAATTTAGGTGGTAATTGTGGATAATCTAAGCGGTAAATACAAAATGTGTATGGCGGAAGGATTTATGTGGTAAAAATAAATGTGTGGATTTATGTGATTAATGTGTGGCGTGTAGTGTGTGACACATATGTGGTAAATGTGTAGTATGGATTGACTAGTTGGTGAATGTGTAATCAATGGTTTGATGTGAAATGTAGTGAAGTAGTGAACATGAGAGACAGCTGTGGTGTGGGGAGGGGGGGAGTTTCAGAAGGAGGCAGGGGGACACAAGGTGAATACAAATCTGGGGGTGGGGATGAAGGGAAAAAAAAGCAACAGCATAAATGACTGAGAAAAAGTTATAGCGGGTATAACATTTGAGAGATGTGAGACGAGTGAGGAGAAACCTAGAGAAAGTTGTGGAGTAATGAATAGTTCTCTTACAGCCTCAGGTTTCACCTTCTATATCTGTCATGTCCCCGGGTAGTTCTATTGGTGTTATTAATAGCTTTTACTCTCTGTACATTTCATACTCAACGAGTTTTGCACTACCAAATATTTGGTACTAAGTAGAATTTTAGTCTACGCCTAGTACCAACTTCCGCTCGCCGCCATCTTGAAAATTCCCAAGTCTGGACAGTACTCATTCAACAAAGAGATGATTTTTTTTTCATCCAACCGCTCAAAACTCAAACACGGGCTGAAAAAAAACATCAGGACAACTAGAGTACTCACGTGTCCCCAGACCCCCCACCCCCACCCCCAGCTCACTGCGCGTGCCACCAGACCAAAGTTTGTCCTGTCTCTTGTTTTTCGTTCTGTTTGTCTTTGAGAGGGTTGCGGACAGATGTCTTCGTTGGAGCGTCAATAGGGAGTCAGTGACGTCAATAGGGAGTCAGTGACGTCAATAGGGAGTCAGTGACAACAATAAAAAAGATGGGATGGAAAGGGTTAACAGAACCATCTGCCTGTGTATTAGCATGTGAAACTCACCACCATGTAGGGGTTAAGGTGCTGAGAACAGAATGCGAGGAGTTTAATCCTGCTGTATAATCCGGTAGATAATCTATGAGTACCTGCTATATAGTCCTACACCACTGTAGATAAATACATAGTATAAATAACGGAAGATCGTATAGAAACAACTGTAGTTTAAGTAGTTCAGTTTTAACGTCTAGGTTTGAAAAAAAAAAAGCTTTGAAAACAGTTTTAAGAAATATAAGTTTTATGGGGTAAACCACACTTTAATATGATTAACCGTAGGTCACACTTTAATGTGGTTTTGTGTTTATAACATCATTTAATGACGTTTACCGAATGCCACCTTTTAATGTGATTTACCGCATATCACCCTTGAATGTGGCTTTTGTGTGTATAACACCCTTGAATGTGGTTTTGTGTCACCTTTAAAGCGGCGACATACTGTAAATCAACAGACCTTCCGGCAACCTTGACCTTTGGTTTTGTCACGACTCGACCATTGTAGAATTTTTAACTCCGAGTAAACGCACATCAAGCTTGAGCTAATCTCGCAACCAACCATCAAACTCAAGTTGCGAAAGTCTCCGTCGATGCTTTTATGGTTTATCCATGCCTTTATATCTTTTAATTATAATTTTCTTTCCCATTACAATGCGACTCCTGGAAAGGGAAAACTTAATGTGGAGTTTGTTATTGGAATCTGGTCTCTGAATGTTAGAGGTTTGCCGGCTAATTTTCTGCTATACAGTCGAGGTGGTTGCAGGATGCCTTAGAGTATTTTAAAATCAGCGGATCACACATTGGAGTTTAGATGTAGGGGTGGGTGGGTGGGGGGGGGGGTATTTGCGAGTTTAATGTGAAAGTGAGATTGGAAGGATGTTCACATCACATTGGGGTGGTGAGGTGGTTTGGGGTGTTTGGGCTGGATTGGGGTGTTTGAGGTGGATTGGGGTGTTTGAGGTGGATTGAGGTGATTGAGGTGGATTCGGGTGATTGAAGTGGATTGGGGTTGGTGAGGTAGGTTGGGATGGATTGAGGTGGATTGGGGGGGGGGGGAAGGTTGAGATGGTTTGGGGTGGGGCGGATTGGGGTGGTTGCGGTGGATTGGGGTGTTTGAGGTGGATTGGGGGAGTTATGTTTTGATGTTGTGTGGCGGTGTGGCCGAATTACAAACTTGACACGTTATATTTTGATCCTCGAGCTCTATTACTGTTTCGCAATGACAAAAACAAAACAATTTTTTTAATCATCGAAAAACTAATTTAGGCAAAGTACATTTTTTATCGACAATTTTTTAAAGTGCTGCAATGTGGCTGAACTGTTCAATCTTATATTTGAATTTAAAACTGTAGAATGTTTCAGTGCTTGCAGCTGTGGAACATTTCAGGTTCTTGCTGCTGTAGACTGTTGCCGTTATGTCATTATGTTTGTTGGAGTAATGTGTCCGGCTTGATGGGGCGGGTGGAGGAGACGGGGGGGGGGGGGAATAAGAGGGGGGGGGGGCTTGGAGGAAATTGAAAAAGCCGAATAGTTGTAATCTAATATTAACTAGAATATTTTTATAAGCCAGTTCAAAACTTAAAAAAAAATTTAAAGTGATGACTTAACAAAAAGTCAGCTTTAAAAATTTTGAACTTTCCATTTTCTGTCAATTGAGCTTGGTATTTCTTTAAAAAAAAATCTGTCACTTAATTAAAAGCCATTTCATTTGGTGGTCGTTTAATTTGGTTTAGTCCTGTTCAAATGGTAATTGCTTTCCTGGCTTATCTCCCTTGCTGGCGTGCCTAAATGAGTTGTCTCCCCAGTCTGTGGTACCAGGGGCGACAAGCAACGCCGGCGGGTCACAGAATGGTGGGGGGGGGGGGGGGCTGAGGGCACTCTGGACAAGAGGTCTGGACTGTCGACTTACGTAACTTTTTTTTTTAACCGTCTCCTGTGAATTGGCCGCTAAATGAAGAGATTAATGTTGGCTAGTTGTAAGACAACGCTGAAACATTGGCTTGCTTATTTTGTTGGCTGATGTTGGCTGAAGTTGGTTGATGTTGGTTAATGTTGGTTAATGTTGGCTGATGTTGGCTGATGTTGGTTGATGTTGGTTAATGTTGGTTAATGTTGGCTGAAGTTGGTTAATGTTGGCTGATGTTGGCTGATGTTGGCTGATGTTGGCTGATGTTGGTTAATGCTGGCTGATGTTGGTTAATGTTGGCTGATGATGGTTGATGTTGGCTGATGTTGGTTGATGTTGGTTAATGTAGGATGATGTTGGCTAATGTTGGCTGATGTTGGCTGATGTTGGTTGATGTTGGTTGATGTTGGTTGATGTTGGTTGATGTTGGTTGTTGTTGGCTGATGTTGGCTGATGTTGGTTAATGTTGGCTGATGTTGGTTGATGTTGGCTGTTGTTGGCTGATGTTCGCTGATGTTGGTTGATGTTGGCTGATGTTGGCTGAAGTTGGTTAATGTTGGCTGATGTTGGCTGATGTTGGGTGATGTTGGTTGATGTTGGTTGATGTTGGTTGATGTTGGCTGATGTTGGTTGATGTTGGCTGATGTTGGTTGATGTTGGCTGATGTTGGTTGATGTTGGTTGATGTTGGGTGATGTTGGTTGATGTTGGTTGATGCTGGTTGATGTTGGTTGATGTTGGCTGATGTTGGCTGATGTTGGTTGATGTTGGTTGATGTTGGCTGATGTTGGCTGATGTTGGTTGATGTTGGCTAATGTTGGTTGATGTTGGCTGATGTTGGCTGAAGTTGGTTAATGTTGGCTGATGTTGGCTGATGTTGGGTGATGTTGGTTGATGTTGGTTAATGTTGGCTGAAGTTGGTTAATGTTGGCTGATGTTGGCTGATGTTGGCTGATGTTGGCTGATGTTGGTTAATGCTGGCTGATGTTGGTTGATGTTGGCTGATGATGGTTGATGTTGGCTGATGTTGGTTGATGTTGGTTAATGTAGGATGATGTTGGCTAATGTTGGCTGATGTTGGCTGATGTTGGTTGATGTTGGTTGATGTTGGTTGATGTTGGTTGATGTTGGTTGTTGTTGGCTGATGTTGGCTGATGTTGGTTAATGTTGGCTGATGTTGGTTGATGTTGGCTGTTGTTGGCTGATGTTGGCTGATGTTGGTTGATGTTGGCTGATGTTGGCTGAAGTTGGTTAATGTTGGCTGATGTTGGCTGATGTTGGGTGATGTTGGTTGATGTTGGTTGATGTTGGTTGATGTTGGCTGATGTTGGTTGATGTTGGCTGATGTTGGTTGATGTTGGCTGATGTTGGTTGATGTTGGTTGATGTTGGGTGATGTTGGTTGATGTTGGTTGATGTTGGTTGATGTTGGTTGATGTTGGCTGATGTTGGCTGATGTTGGTTGATGTTGGTTGATGTTGGCTGATGTTGGCTGATGTTGGTTGATGTTGGCTAATGTTGGCTGATGTTGGGTTATTATGGAAACTTACTTCGTAGTTTAATATGCCTATTTGAAAAGTCTTTGCTATCGTAGAATTATGCGGTCAAGAATTAGATCTAAGAAATCAAAATGTTCAGTTTTTGCACATAAAGTCGCCACAATCAGTATATTGTCACAAATGACAAACTCTGTTACTGTAGTTCTGGAGTCTTCTACTTCAGCTGTTACACACACACTGGTGTGCATGCAGACAAACACATGCACGCAGACACATACCATTTCACAGACGCACGTGCACACATGCCCAGGCACATACACACACATACAGTATCTAAACCCTAGTTTTTACCTCCTCAGGTACGCAGCAATCCCCATGACGACGGCAACAGCGTCACTTCCGGTGAGACAACGACCAGTGACAGTGGGCGTGGCGGAAGTGAGGACGATATTCCGCTGCCACCTATAGCCGAATGTTCGCCAGAGCTCAACAGTGAGTACCTAAAGCGAGTGTCCTTTTGTCCACAGCCTACACTAAATACCGAGACTCAGAATCTCTAGATCTACTGCCGATAAGTAGCTCAGTATGTAAGAAGTAATTAGTCAAATACGAGCGGCTGAAAGTCCCCTGGGGCTATGTTCTCTTTGCCTTTCCTGCTGTTCTATACAGAAATTAAGATAAAAATGTTTTCATGGAAGTTCAAAGAAACTAAAGTACTGCTTTGATTTTTTTCCATTATTTCATATGGTATAGAAATAGTCTTACAAGATTACATTTTAAAATTACTTCTCATTTAATAATTTAAAAAATGCCATTACAGGACTTAGAATATATGTAGGCTGTTAATATTGAAGTAGTGTTTACCTTTTCGTCGAACTAAAAGTCAATTTATTGACTGGACAAACATTTTATTTTTACTACTTAACCATATATGTAATTAATTAGCTTTTTTTCTGTTTATAGAATCTGTTTAATAGAATTTAAAATATTTAGTTGCATTTTTAATGGATAGCTAGACTTGTATTTGCAAGCCGCTCTTTTTTTCAAAATTTAACCCCAGTCTAACAATAAACTAATTTCAAAAGTAAATCAGATTTTTTGACCATAGAAAAATTTAGGTCACCTAAAGCACGTTTACGTTTTTTGTGGTATTTGATGTGATTATGGTTAGTTAGGAGCTTGTATAGCCTATTACAGTTGCATGGCTAGAGGTGATTAGAAGATTTCTATCCTTGTGATTATTGTTGGTTATTATTCTAGACCTGGTTAGTGCTATGGTAGGATATAGTTAGGAAGTGTTAGGCTGGCCTAGGATAGTCCCGTTGTGACGTAACTACGGATGTGACGTAACTGACTGTGTGCATCACGTGAACCTCACCAACCTATTGCTGGCAAAACTTGACAGCTACACGGGGACAGGTTGTACTCATCAAAAAACCGTTAGAAACCAATTACTTCAAGCCTTGTCTTAAATGATCGAAAGCCACCCCAGCCCTCCCCCGCTCTGTTATTTAAGATGGAGCTGTCAGGGACACCATTGTTCACGCGGTGGGGTGGGGGTGGGGGTGGGGGACGCTGGGACACTTTGTCACGGTTCGCGGGCTTTTTATTCTTTTAATAATCCTGCCAATCAGGAAATATTCTCCTTCAGGGGAAATAATCAACACTCGATTAATAGGTCGCCGTTTGCGTGTCACGTGAGCCAATCAAAACCTTGCATTCATTACTGATGATATCAAACATACGGTCTGCAAGATTTGAAACATCCAAACATTTTAGCCCCTTATTTTTAGCGTGACGATTTCTTCCCCCTGAGCGAAGCCTGACCAGGTATTGGAGTTATTGTTTTAAAAAAAAAGATGATGACCATTTTTTCCAAGCAGTCTATAGGAAATCAGTCGGATGTATTGATCTCATTCTTGCCAAGCCACGGCTGAACAAAGGACTTCACACTCCAGTCGTTCCGCTCCAAGTTTGCGTTAAATTATTGATCGTCTGCTCAAAGTAATTCTTTTGGGAGAGTTTGTTTCTGATACATGGGCAGAGAGCGTGGCAAAAATGGGAGATCATTCTCTAGATCTGCAAACTGTTTTCTGCAGTTTAGGATACATTTTAACAGAACATAGGAATAATACAGCAGTTTTTGGATTAACCATTTTGGGGAAGATCGTTTTTAAACTTAAAACAAAATTATTAAAACGGTTATTGTAATGACCATTTGAGAAAGATAATTATAAAAATGTTTACCGTATCTCGATAAGCCAGCATATTGAAAATCTAAAGGGGATGAGCTGGTAATTTAAACATTGTATTAATAGAAATCTTAATTCTTATAATTTCAATAGCTTTTTATAATTGTGGAGCTTTTAAAAAAGATTTTTTTTTGGTCTTTTAATTATTTTTCTAGTATGACATTAAAATACAGATTTTTTTTTACAATTTTCAACTCTTGTAAAAGTAGCGTACGGTGCAGTGATGAAGTTTGACGTAATGACAAGGGGCTTGTAAAATATGGTAACGATCTTGTCGTAATGGGGCCCATATTTCAGGTCACGCTGGTGGCAAAAAATTGAATGTTCACAAAAGAAGATGAAGTGAATATCAATACAATCTCAGTGAATCATCGGGTTCTCTGTGGTAAAGGTTAGGATTTACATACACTTGAATAGTAATTTGAAGGCTGGATATAGTTAAGATACATTTAAAGTTGAAAAAAATCGATGTAGGCAAAAAACGTTGGGTGAAAATTACTTTCCATTATATGTTTGAAGGTCTCTGCTGTGTCTTAATTTATTATTCATAATGAGGTTTTCCCTAAGACAATGTCAGATTCTTCCTCCGGGGCTTTCAGCTGTGTAGAACATCAAGATAAGCTTTTCAGGAATATTTTCTTTGCTCTTTTGTCTGGGTAATTACAGTTTAGAGTTGCTTTTACTAAGTAAAGGTTTTATTTTTGTTTACTTTGGTGTAGAGGCGGGATTGTATTTACTAAGTAAAGGTTTTATTTTTGTTTACTTTGGTGTAGAGGCGGGATTGTATTTACTAAGTAAAGGTTTTATTTTTGTTCACTTTGGTGTAGAGGCGGGATTGTATTTACTAAGTAAAGGTTTTATTTTTGTTTACTTTGGTGTAGAGCAGGGAGTTGTGTTCTTTGGTATAGAGACAGTGCCGGCACCAGGTTATTTAGCGCCCTAGGCTAAACTTATTAAAACGCCCCCTTTCACACAAATTAATTACTAAAACATACGTATAAGAAAACAATTGTTTAAAAGTGACATATTAATTTATTATAAATTGCATAAGTAGACATCAAAATTAAATTTTACCTGCATCCTTTGTCTAAAAAGTTCGTACTAATTCCTTCAATTCCAGTTCGCAAGCGTAATTACATTTTATTGAAATTGCGAAGTCCACGAGTCTACTTTGTACTTTACGACATAGCCCCCTCCCCCACCCCCTTAGGAAATTTTAAGTGTTTCCTTCCCCCCCCCCCCTCCCGAGAGAAAAAAGTCTGGAAAAAAAAAACACTGAAAAAAAAGTGCTTGTATTGTTGGGCTCTCTGCAGTCCTCCCAAGGTGAGTTCCAAAACGGAACTTACCTGTTTTAATCTTGGCTGTCTTTAGTTATAATTGTCTATACTGTGTGATTATGTAACGATTTTTTTCTTTTTGAAAAATAAAAGGTTATACATGTTATAGATTCAAGCCTAAAATTGTTATACATGAATCCTTTAGGAGAGGGTGAAAATATGAAAGACAATTTAGTAGATGTTTAATTTACGACTAAGACTGTATGTCTACTAACATAAGAATTGCAATCTACAACGGCTACTGATGTATTTGTTTTTTGATAATGCTAAAAATACATACCAAACTATTTTGTTTAGAACTTAAGCTCTATATAATTTTTACATTAGCAAATAATAACTTAAAGTTGTATTTATATGTAAGCGGTCAACATAAGATGCAAGAATTGGAAAGTAATGTAAAGTTAAGCGACAAATTATCTCCCATTTGAAAATCTAAATAACAAAATTTTATTCAAGGAAGATAACTCACAAGAATAGCTAAATTAACCAAGTGTAACTAAGACATGTTTAAAAAACACAATAAAACGCTCTAAATTTAATTACATAATAATAATAACAAATCTTTTATATTATCTATGTAATCTTGTGAAAACAATATATTTTACTTATTGAATACTTAACTATAAGTTTTGTTTGAAAGTGTAAAAACTGTAGCTTTATTATAACATACTTCTATTCAATATAGATGACATTCATATAATTTCGTTCCACAGTAGTTCAAATACATAAATGAAATTTTGGATCCCCTAACCGGGGACGTATTTCAAAATATCAAACATGGGTAACTGGTTTAGACATTGCTAGAATTATTGATTAAATAAAAAAAAAACTATAATTTGACAAAATAAAGTTTATGTTAAGAGTGGTAATATAGATTCCTAAAAAACGTAAGTATATTTTTCAACTAGAGAACGCCTGCCTTTCCTTGTAGTATGTTCGGTACTGAATTGAAATAATCTAACTTACGATAAACTAGACTACTCGATATACTCTACTACATTCACAACACATATCAAACTTTTGTACCTAAAGATAACTAGACTCGATGCTCCAGAACTACGACACTGACTCGTTTAACACGCTCTACAAACGGTACTCCCAATCAACAACGATTTCACTGGACCTATAACTACACTTTCAGTCAATGCAATTCGATACCTTAATACCACAAGAATCAAAGCTCCCGAACTCCAGAACTACGATACTTCGTCACCTGCATTCTCATTTCTCTATTAGCAATCAAATTCCATTACACCTTCAACTACAAAATAGCCGAATAAAAATTATGACACTTAAACACTTCGATATTTTATACCTATGAAACCATATCAGCAGCAGCCTTCCGTCGTTACTCCCAAATCTAAACAATTCATTAAAACTTACCAAATAAGTGACAATACTTTGAACACCCCGACATTACAAAACTCTGTACACCAGGACAGATTTCTAATTCAAAGCCAGAGAAAACGAGACTTACAAACCCTATTAAAATTTTACGAACTTATTTAATCGTTTTCTACATCAATTATTTGACACCAAATTAAAAAGGCAAAGTGACTGGTAAAAAGCGCCCCAACCTTTCCATATTAGGGAGGAAGGGTTGCATTTTCACCACCGCGAATAAATATAGGCCTATATAGACCTAATTTTGGGGTTGGGGTGCAAAATTGATAGTTTGACCTGGGTGCCGAAATAGATCGCTACCCCTTTAAAAAAGTTATTAATTATTAGATAATTTTTGATAATAGTGATTAAACATTTTGCGCCCCCCCCCCCCCCCCCAGTGATGGCGCCCTAGACGACCGCCTAGTTCGCCTTATAGGTAGCGCCGGCCCTGTATAGAGGCGGGATTATGTTTACTAAGTAAAGATTTTATTTGTGTTTACTAAGTAAAGGTTTTATT